ACCCGATTTTCCCACCAGACACAACGATCATTTGCCTTTGATAGGCAGCTGTCGGAAAAGGAGGAAGGTTTGATCGATGCATCCACGATCGGTGCGAAACCCAGCCAGATCATCACCTACAGTGTTTTCATGACTCCAGATGTGTACGAATGATTCATGCTCAAAGAAATCAATCGAAATAAAGTTATCACTTTTGCAAATTACAATTATTGAAATACCTACTATTCTCAACTTATCGGTATATCATGAACTTCAGGGCAAGTGGAATACGACGAAAGAGTCGATGCAGTCGGTTTATGTCTTCATGGATGGTACCTCTGTGTGAAGCACATGGTTGATTACGAGTTGGGCATCTACGCACCTTCAGGCGGACATCACGTATGAAGTTTCGGCAGTCTAGATTGAAGGCTTAATTGGCATTTATCAAATGGAGACAACTTTGGTGCTTCACATCCGGCAACCCGTGAAAAGGCGCGTACAACAGTTCGACCGATACTGCTATGTGATGTTAATGGAGGGAGAAGACGAGCTGGATGGGAAAAACGTCAATTGATCCAATTCAAAAAGAACCGGTGTACGCGTTCAATTATATATAATCAATTCTTAACCGCGCGGAAGGATGATTCATGTCTCTTTCTGTTGGTTTTGGTCCGCATTTGGCACGTACGTTGTCTCTTCTTCCGCCTGCCGTTCCGGCTGGTTTGATCCGACCATAGCGAGATACGCTGATCGACAGCTCCGACGTAGTGGCATTCGGTGTATATCTTTCTGGCTAGCTGCGGATCGTCTGTCGGGCTGTAATTGGCGATTCGTTCGTTTCGGGTGGTAGTCAACATTGTCTCTCGAAGTACTCCCAGCCGCTACGTCTGAGCGTCTGGTTGGGTGGGTCTCGTTCTCGATTGGTTCGCTAGCCGGAGCCTTCTTTGTACCACCTTCCATCATACGCCTTTCCTTTAAAATAGTTGCCATGGGTGTACCACCGCTCCAATTCTTTACCATTTACCCATCTCCTTTGAGGACCCTGGTTGATCCGAAAACTGGCGTTCTTCCTCTTCAGGCTAGTGAATGGCCCCATCCACCTCTGCTTGAACTTTCCGGCCCCGGGCCCTGTTGTTTCGGGTTTGCCTTGATTCTTAACTTTTACTAGCTGTCCCGGTACGAACGGCTGCCACTTTCGTGATCGGTGTCGTACCTTGCCTTGTTGCGCTGCTGGGTTTACCTGGTTTTCTGAACCGCTGCTCTCTCCAGTTGGTCTCGCTCCTTCGTGGAAAGTTGTTCGCCAGATCTACTGAGAAGCGCATCCAGAGGAGTTCTGGGCTCCCTACCGTATATGATTTCGTAGGGTGGTATCTCCGTTGTCGAATGAGATGTGGTTCTGTAGTTGAATAGGATTTCCGGTAGGCTTTCTTCCCAATCACCGCGATGGTTATTGAGCCATTCCTTTAATGTTCTGTTGAACCTTTCAGTCATTTAGTTGGCCTGCGGATGATAGGGGGACGTTCTTGTTCGTTTGATGCCCCGGCGGTCTCCCGAAAAATCTCGGATTCGAAACGGTCCCTGGTCGGTAATGACATTTTCCGGGATGTCGAATCGTGTAACCACATTGTCTATAAATATCCGAGCAACCGTTTCTCCTGTTTCATCCGAGGTTGGCAATGCTTCCACCCAGTGAGACGCGAGTTCGACCATCACAACAATGTACACTTGTTCCCACTGGGACTAATAAGTAGAGGTCCAAACACATCCAGTTCCCAGGTATGAAGTACTCTCTGTGTGTCTATCGGTTGCATTGGTGGTGTTGATGGCGTCGTACATTTATTATGTTGGTACTCGGGACAAGAACGGATGTATTCAATTACAACCCGGCGCATCATTGGCCAGAACACACGACGTCGTAACGAATCGACAAGTCGTTGCCGTCCCATGTGTGCTCCATCGTGTGCAAGCTTCAACACCCTTTTGCGAAGACTGGCT